AGCCTGTGCTCTATCCAACAGCTCAGTGGTTTTCTTCCTCGTGTTCGCTCTGGGTTTTCTGTCAAAGCTTCGTCGTCTAGCTGTAGACTACCTACTACAGTAACCGTTGGAGTGACCAAATCAGGATTTTCCAGCTGACTTGAATGGTTTTCTTTAGTCTCGGCCTTCGGTACAAATAATTGCAATTGAGCTCGACCAATTAAGTAAGCAAGACCACATTTGAAGAGGTAGAGCTAAATTCTGTGCAGGTAATATAGGAATCAATCGTCCAGGCAAGAAGCTATGGAGAGGTAATAGAATGTGAGATGAGATGGGATATGGCTGCATAAAATTCATGGCCTATTTAACTTATAAGAGTATTTCTAATGAGAGAACTCGCAGACACCAGAGTATAAATCCATGGTATTGAGCCATGCATGCACTATGTCATAATTCCATAAGAGATAGGACTTAATGGCTTGACTAGTGGCAACGTACTATTCCGCATACGGCATAGCATGCTGACAAAAATTGGACCTATTGAACATGGAAAAGCTGCCCTGCTCTTCTTTCAATTATGTTTTCTGATCATAGTCCGAAGACATTGAGTTGAAGATAATTGGCTCTGAGGGCGCTATTATAGGTGTGGAGGATAGCCTACAGTAGACCCAAGTGAGCCCTTCACAATGAAGTTTGGTGTGAGCAAAGGAAAAGCACACTGGTTTCCTTTCAATCATCATTCATGCCCCTTACAAAGGAGATTAACTGTTCGCGAGTATTCTCCAGATTACCACCGGCCTGTGTGGACGCTTCATCGCCTTCTGCACATCGAAGAGACGAGGTAATAGGACGGGTGCGCTTTTGTCGATCCTTCCCTATTTCCTGCTTAAATATGGAGATGACCCTTTCGTAGACCAGCGCTCGCTTCCACTTTTGCTGAGCTACTTCTTCGCGATAGGGGAAGTTCCTCAGCTTTGCATAGGCTAACAGCTCGTACAGATTCTTGGGTACGCGAAGATGCCATCACGTTCTCCTCCCATATAGATTCAGAATTCAGGAACAGTGTCAGACGCTCGATCCCACACTTTCTGAATTCCTCTAAAGCGCAATCGGTGTCTACGTTTCCATTAGCCTTATCACTATTCATCTTGCCTACTCTCGGCCTTATCGTCTCCTGTAACCACTCTTTCTCTTATGCGGACTGGCTTTTGCGTGCAATTTCGTTTAAGATTATTGAAGCAATTCTTGAAATTCTCAGTGTCCATAATTGGCACCTTCGGCTGGCAGCGTCGCAGCTATTCGCAGCCTTTCTTGTTTCGATTAGATTGCAGGTGGTGCAGTGCTAAACGGCGTTCTATCACTCATATTTCTACCAGGACCCGGATTGACAGACGCTGTGAACAACTGAGCCTATCATCCTCTTGGAGCCTGTGAATTGGTGCGAGAAAACCAGTGACTTTATATCGGCTGGCCAACATTGAATGCGGAGGCACACCCCAAAAAAGGGATTCATCAATGTCGAACGAGTTCATCCTTTATCCTTTTATCGTGTTTATGTTTCCGATTCTGTATTGAGTTCCTAGAAATTCGCTGCACCCATCCTATGGGACCTCCATTTTCGTGTTCACTTGTTCAGAGTGCCCGCACGAGCCTTTTGTATAAACATTTCTAGGTGGCAAAAATCACTTAGTCTCCTGCCTCAAGCCATCTCTTTCATCTTTTCTTCTCCTGGACCCTATCGGCTTGCCTATCTCAAAACAATGCAGCATCACCTCCTTCGGTACCATCTCAGTCTCTCATGAAGCTTCTGCCCACAGTAGGACAGCATCAGCCCCATTGGCCGAAGTTTAATGAACCACTGGATTACAATTTCCGAAGATTTGCTCTTACGGTGTTGTTCAACTGAATGGTTTAGCTATGGCTACCAGTTTTTTTATTCTATCCTTGCTTACTGAAATGTATGTTAGATAATATCGGTAATGTGATTCCTCGCAGTACCCTGATACTCTCACAGTTTTGGTCGATGAACTACAAACTGATACATGAGCGATTTCCGTCGTCTTCATCCAGTACTAGGAGCTGTTTGCGTAGTCATTCTTCTTTTTTCCACCGCTAGGTCGCTCACCCTTCCTAAAGTAAGTCAAATATTCTTCTCTTTTGGGTGTTCCTGCTTCGACTCCTCTCCCTGTGTCTTTTTCCTGAGCATCCCTCACTACTGATAAGGCTATTCATAGGAGCAAGATCACCTTTAACCCTTTGCGGTTATCACAAAACCGGCTTGCTATACTTAATCAGCTATAATTCTCTAGTCTAATTCAAATCGGAGATACGATTTTCTGGGGAGTCTGCTGTTGCTAAGGTGACACTGTTCCAATTAATGCCTTCTTCATCGAAGTGGAATGAAGCACCTTCTCCACTTTCTCTGACCTTCGCTCATTTTCAGCGGGTTTTTCATACTGTGGAACTTGAATATTCATCGATTCATAGGGGCGGCATCATTTCCAGACCCACTTGTCAGTCATCCTAAATTCAAGGCCTCATTTTCGAGTAGACTCTACAGCCGAGGTCGTTTGCACCTCTATAGTCCCCACACTGGTCACNGCACCTTCTCCACTTTCTCTGACCTTCGCTCATTTTCAGCGGGTTTTTCATACTGTGGAACTTGAATATTCATCGATTCATAGGTGCGACATCATTTTCAGTCCCACTTGTCAGTCATCCTAAATTCAAGGCCTCATTTTCGAGTAGACTCTACAGCCGAGGTCGTTTGCACCTCTATAGTCCCCACACTGGTCACTGAAAGCGCAGACAAGAAGTTTCCCCAGCACTTCTGCGTTTAACCACCTTCTTTTCAGATGATATTTTGATCAGTTTCTGTAACAAGGGGCAAAGGGTCGAAAAATTGACCTGTACTTTGGGATTGCTTCCAAAATCAGTGTATGAGCTACATATGCATTCAAAAGGCTGCTAGGATTCTGGAAGGTGGTCGAATGCGCCGGCGCATCCCATAAACAAGAATGATTGTAACAAAGCTGCATCGTCCTCTATCCTCCAGAGCAATGAAATTCCAACAGGTAGCCACTCGATCTGAATTTGTAAGTGCTGATATGTGGGTTTACATTTGCTGCTGATCAAAGCTATCCCTGCTCAGAATGACCTGTGACGTAATTCACTGAAGACAGTGCTCACGTAAATAAGGTGTGTAGTTAAGGAATATTAGGCATAGTAAGGACCATAATCGAGTGACAAGAAGCAAAAAACGTATATTTTTGTGGTAAAGGACCATGCAGTGATAATGAAATAAGGCTCTCAATTTCAGTAGCATAAAGCATCGGATACCAAGTGCGACTGTCGATAAATCTCGGCATTGCTCCTTTAGTTTTTGAGGTTTACTTTTCGTATACCATCTTATCCTTCGTAGATAAGTGTATAACGTGTCAGCTGATTTTCTAAAAGTGCCAAATCATTCAAGGGGTAATCATGTTCCCAAAAAAGTTATAGAGATCGTCCAAATCATCGAATTTCTGTAGCGAACAAGATGCCCTCGATCATCGCTTGCCAGATCAGTGGTAGGAAGTCTTCCCAGGGTAGCGCTGCTCATTCATTCTTATCTTACCGTTACCATTATCATCGTATGTTACCCCTGCAGTAATACGCCGTAATACTGAGTGTGGAGCTCCGTACTTTCCTAAATATATTAGAATCGAGCACGAGGAAAGCCTTTGTTTGAAGGGTGCCACAGAAGCCGAGTTTGAATGCCGTCAAAGGTCTTCAGAAGTTCTCAGTTACGGCATAGCAGTGTGAAGCTGCCCAAATTGTACGCAGTTCCCATCTTGAAAAGCTCAGCAGAGTAGCTATCAAGCTGAAAGTAAACGGCAAAGAGTACCAGTTCTAACTGAAACAGCAGATAAAGGGAGCACTACCGAAAGTGCTGGTCGAAACTTCGTCAGTTACAAGACCAGGGGCACAATTTCTTCGGATGCCAGAATATGCATTGGCTCCCTGGAGGCAACGGAAAGCGTGTTGTGCAGTTAGAGCCTTGCTCGATGACTTTGGTGGGAACACTGGTCAAATAGGCATATTTGACCAGTGACCAGTGCAAGATGAGGACTTTCCAACGCCAATGAGTAGCAAATGTCAGGCAATCTGTGTACTAGGTAACCTAAGTACTGTAGTACACTTCGTTTCCATTGACCGATAACTAATAAATTTTCTTCTCATATTGAAGCCATTGGCTCACGTTGTGAGAAGGCTCTTTTCCCTACCCTGGGTTCCTGTTATTTGCGAATGATAATACCAAGGACTATACTCTGATCGAAGCCTGATCAACCTCATTACCATCATCCTGGATAAGAACAGCTGCAGTGAGCCAGTGAAAGCTGAAGCGCTTCAGGGACGTAGACCCCGACCGCTCCTATCATCCGTCCCATTGACGGAAATCGCCCACANCTCCTACTTTGGTCTTTCGGTAACACTGCTGAAGAGAAAAAGAAGATAAAAAGAGCTTCTCGCAAGCTACCCATGTGACGAATCTATTGCTCGTCCGCGTGACATGTTTCGTGCTTTACACCATCCGCGCTCCTATCAACGAACGATAGCAAACTGATTATTCAGGCGTAACTGCGAAGATATATATTTATTCTGTACAAACGCACCTATCCATTGCACATAATTCAACCTTTTACAACGGAACAATTGTTGTAAAAGGAATAGATAAGGATATCACAGCAACATTAACGACATCAACTTAAATCATTAACGCATTCGGAAGAAAGTATTAAATGAGTAATTTAGAATGACCCATAAACAACACCAACAACATATACAATCAGGAGAATTATTAATGCTCCGAAGAAAGAATCGGTGTTTCAGAAATTATTACTCAAAGCAAGCCTCAACCTGACTCGAATGAAATAACAAAGGTAGGACCTATCTAAAAGTTGCAGAAACCGATAACTACTACTTAGCTACCATTAGCGTCTTACAAGCAAGGAACAATACAGCAACACGAGAAGCAAAACCTATAACTCATCTGTGCCACGGTAACCAACTAACATTTCTTTCCGGAACTCATCAATTTCTCTGATGCTGGAGGAATACCGTCCAAGACTTTGGAATAACGATACCACCTCATTTCTAAAAAGATGGCAACATAAATAAATATCAGTGAAAGTGAGAAACAGTAAATAGTAAACAAACTCCCTATAAAAACGCCAACGCAATTAATAACTTCTACTTCTCCTTTTATTCTTTGACCGCTGAATTACTATAAAACTGTCTATCTTCATTTCCCTTCCCTCATATCACATCCAACTTATTATATTTCTTCTCTCTAGACAGCAAATAATTGAACCTTTTATGCCATAAGCGCAGAGGGAGTACAACATCTTTCTTTATGACCAAATAGAACGCTCAAAGCTGACTTTAAGAGGTGCTAAAAATTTTTTTTTTATATACTTAATGCAGAACTTTACGTTTTATGAATACTTACCCCACTCAGCTTATCAACGAGAAAGGAACTGACCGTGTCAACTGGAACGGAGCGGCTACTGCCGAGCCCTCAGAATTTATTCGGTAATGAGAATGTGGTAGATCCGAGAAAAGAATTTTCAGTGCTGTGCCCATGCCATGAATTTGGACCTGAAGCACTAACAGGATTATTTCAAAAAAATGGTGAACGAAATGGTTGTCGAGTCGAATCTAGACAAAGTGCTTCTCCAATCGAAAAAAAAAAACTCTAGCTATCGAAAGAACTCACCTTCCCCCATAGACGGCATTTGTCACACCCAACGCAATCCATAATACGTGAAATGTTAAGGAAATGAGATCTGAATTCCTCCCGTAGCTCGCGAGCATGCGCTTCTACACCCTGAAATGAAAACGCCTCGGAAACGTTCTAGTAGGCTTCAAAGTTGGGCATATAAGATTAGGACTTTGCATATAGCAAATGATTCCATCCTATATGTAAGCTTATGACAACAAAAAAAATTTAAAAAAAAAGATAAAACAAAACTAATACAAGACAAAGAACTAAGCAGTTACCGTAAACAGCTCGTGTTCATCGAATTGGTCAGGGAATTGCCGGATAATATCCAGCAGCTCATCTATAGCAACACGTGTTTCGATGTCTTCCTGAAAAAAGTGTTAAAATGAAATGATGGGGCGATGTTGATCTTCACTTTCAAATAAAAGGTGAGGCAGAAGCAGAAAACTAGAAAGATCTAGGGAGGAAGTTCAATGGGAAAAGAAAGGGCAACGCACATCAAAGCTCTGGTTCAAAGACGGGAGGATCGAGAGGAGTAAGCTTCGGCTTAGGCGAGGGACCAGAGGAAGGAAAGGAGAGGGTAGAGACAAAGCAGAAAATTAATTTCCTACATTTGGGCCAATAGTTCTCCTTACGAAGCTATCACGCGGAGGTTAGAAGGATCCAATTGGATAGGACGCGGGAAAAATCAGGCGGGAGGCAACTTTGGTTGGTTTCCCACATAACGGTATCTCCTTGCCCGCACCTGGCCCAATTCTAAGCTGCATCCTGAAAGGATAGTATGCGGGTATTCAGACTAATCGATTCGATTCGCCTTTTAATCTCAGTTTTAAGGATGAGCTCGTAAAATTAAGGTAACAATCAAAAAAAAGCTCCAATTAAAACCAATGTAATGTCAGATAATAATAATACAGCTAACTGAACTACCTTCTCATTCCCCGTGTAGAACAACTCCTTTTGCAAATATGGCCCAACTTTTAGCAGGGCACGCAACTCCAGCAAGAACACGAAATATACGTTCTTCAATCTGTAAAAAATAAGTATGTGACGATAAATACTAAAGGAAAAATCTATAGGAAAAAAATCTCAGTGGTTCGATCTCATGCGTAAAAACTATTCCCCATCATAGCAATTTGAAGAGGACCATACTGAACTAATTCCCAACACAGTATTGCTCACCGTTGAGGTCCTTCCCAGCTCCATTTCGTTCCAAATCGCCCGGCAAACATTTCCGTGTTACGGAACCATGTTCCTACGCCCAATCCACCAGGGGCTGGAAATGAAGGCAAAGAGATTACACAAACATGGAGAGACACAGTATAGAACTCACCTGGTTTGTAGTTGTACGCGGCTATTGAGATGGTGATTGCAGAATGGAAGCCTGATATGAGTCTGTAGAAAACTCGTTTCTCCAAACAGAGCCCTGAAAATCAGAAGTCACTCGCACCGATTTGGCGATTCTCTCAGAGAAGATAGGCTTTCAGCTCAAACAAGGGAAAAGAACACAAGAATAGAATCACACCCGGCGAACCCTATCGCAAGAAATGGCACATGTTCAGAAAACTTTATTCCTACATTCATGAACATGTCTTAAAGAAAGTGGTGAGCAAAGAACATATTTATCGAGCTAAAGGTCAATACCTATCATTCCAAAGCAGAAATTTTGAAAAATACTGAACCTATAAACTTTAAAACATGACTATAGTATGAATTAAACTACACAGTTTTGATTTGATAGAATTTAGGCACAAATACTACTAACACAAGAACTAACCACACAACCACATTCATATCCTTGCAATTACTATTTGCCACGTCGAGGAATCCAAGAACTCAGATAATACAGAAGAAACAAGAGAACTTTACTACAATTACATTCAGGCTACCACCACCGATGCCAAAAGCTTTCCAAATAAAATCATCATTTCTTCATCGTTTCCGCTCAGCCGTAAAATTGTTATTTAGTTAGGATGACCTTCAGTCCCATGCCGAAAAGGTAAATGCATTAAGTTAATCTGACGAATCTAAAACCTCAGCGAGCTTCACAGCAATTCTGCATGTTCAAACAAAATAGATACAGCCAGTTTACGGCCTACTTTTATGCAACCGACGGGTAGAAAGGTATTCTCAGAAGATGGAATTTTATTTACAAATTAATGTCTCATTAAAAAACATCTATCCTTTCGGATACATTTGCAAACCGATACTTCCTACTGAAGCGTTGTCACAAAAGCCATGACTGAGGTATCAGGTGAAACTGCAGTAAGCTCTAACCCAACAGATACTAAAGCACAGAAGAAAACAACTTGGAGGAAAGGCATCACCAGGTGAAAGTGGCATGCATAGGTTTCGAGAGGAGCTTGCAATCGAGTACCTCAGCAGCAGCAACCTAGCTTTCCTGCTTTTACTCTTTGATTCGCCACAACAGATAGAGAATCTTAAATAGACATTCCCGAGCATTAGAGAATTTTAAACAGACATTCCCGAGCATTCGAGAAGATTAAAATGTTGGGGAAAAGGAGTAGTCAACTTCTTCCCAACTATTTACTTTACTCCCCCCCCCCCCTTGCTAAAGACGAATGACCGGCTCCGAAGTGAATCTTTGAAGCTTCCGCTAGTATTCCAAAATCTGATTATAGAATTGTTATCACAACAGATATAACGACACATTAAGCAGAGGGGTAAAAGCAGAACGATCATAACACGAGCATTAAAAACTTCGCTACTACCACCGTTTTTCTAAGTCAGTTCCTTGCCTGAATAACACCTTGGCCAAAGTAAGTTGATAAAAGGTAAGAAGAACCGTGACGCACCATAGAAGATCCCAAGGATTCCAGAAGATAGAGACAACACAAAGAAACACACAGTTTACACACAAACCTACTATTTCTATACCGGACAATATTCCAAAATGTGTTGTTTAACATACCTTCTGCAAACACTAATGTAAAAGAAAAGGATTAAAAGCAACGGTGCTCAATTAAGGATTAGACTGAATTCGCATGTGAAAAAAAAAAGTGCTAAGAAGTGCAACATATTTGTAAGCAAAACAAAATTCGGACTTTAAAAAAAGCAGTTCTTAAAAGGAACATACCAAAATTGTCGGGATGCATCAAGAAGTTTTTGTCGAACTTCATGTCAGGCCTGAGGAAAAAACAACATAAGAGGTAAAGCCGATTTGTTGTTCTAGCCGAAATAAATACGGAAAGCTTGAAGACTGGGATTTGTAAGACTACAACACTTACTTGAAGCAATTTTCTTGATAAATGCTCTTCCAGACACGTATGGCTGAATCCCCTTTGTAGCCTGTGTATCTCTCTGGGTTCTTCGACAAATCTACGTAATGCATATCGGACGAGTCCTCATCTGGAAACAAAACCGTTGGGGATCAACAATGAGAGCAAGCTTATAATGTAAATTTTTCTCTGACGATAAAGCTAGGGTAATACCGGTAGAGACGTTTTGAGTGAAGTGGTCTTTACATCTTCATCTATTGCTAGTAGCTATGAAAGATCACTAATTATTCAGGTTTTGAGATCGAGCCTCCCCAGATGACTGCTTCTATGTACCTTTTACGGCTGAATTCTATATAGCAAACAATCCTCGTCCGAAGGTAATGGTAAACGCGATATTTATTGCTGCCCTTCATGGGAGTTGGCCCAAATTCTTTGTGAAAATAAAAGGTTCAGAGAAAAAGGAACGCGGTTGAAGGTGAAGGCCGTTCAGGAGGACAAAAGGATGGCACAATAACAGAGAAAGATTGAAACTAGAATATTGCAGAAAAAACCTGACCATCAACTTCGCAGAACTTGTTCTCTTGATCGTCATGAATGTCCATCTCTCGAAGCTGCTCGCGATATCCCTCATCTAGACTTCTGTCCATAGGATCGAAATCATTGCTTCGTTCACCAGCGCTCGGGCAATCCTGAAGGTTCGAGGTGCTGACGATGTTGTGGGTGGTGTGGTTCCGACGACGTTGCGATAATGAATCATCCGTGTGGTTAGTGTCGGACACGGTGATTTCGTAGCCAGGCAGACGCACCGTTGTCACGACAGCCGGACGCCGTAGACCGGCCGGCACTTCATCGTCACAGAATGCTATACCGCATTGACTGGACCCACACTGTCTATCGTCCGGCCAAAAAGGACAAGGTTTGTCCATGTTTACCTGAATTGAATAAAATAACTTGATTCATGGTCTGTGGAATTCAGGAAAAGGAAATTCCAGTGATTTTGTATGGTTGCTTTACACAAACAGTAAAAAAAAAGTGGATCCAAGATTTCCCTCGAATTGAGTTTAACAAACAATCATCGATATAACTAGCCCGATTTAATTAGATCGAATAAGTCAACGTTAATTCTCATGCACGTCAAACATAATTCACAACTTCCGATCTAAAACGGCTCATCCTAATGCGTCTCTTCCGGTGAAAACAGAACGCCGTTCATTGCAATTTCTTTAGGCCCCTTGTTTAGGCGTGGGATTATGAATTCGATGAAAAGCAGCGGACTGACTGCTATTGCCCACTTCTGCCTGATCAGGTTACAACTGTAAAAGGGTCTCCAGGCAAGGTATGGGTCATAGAAAAGCTACGTTCTTACAGGGTTCATTTTCTAGCACACTGAAAACTCTAATTTAGATTTCAATTCTTTCAAGTCCACAACCTTGACACCGCAAAATGTCCATGACGTCGATATCAGCATAACTAATTTTACAAGCCCATGATGATCATTGCCTCTTTGTGAAGCTCAAAAGATAAGGGTCCGTAACCGCTCAAGAGCAGCGATGAGAAATTCAGTGTGCGCTTAATTTTTTTTGCTTGCCCTCCTTGATGTGCTATACATCATCAACATCAAATCAAAACACAAAATTGCAACATTCGCGCACGCTGTCGCAATTCCTAAAAAACCCTATGTGATATATCACTTCAATGTGATTGGAAATAATGGGGCACATTTTCTGCTAAGCATTGGTCACATGCACTATACATACACTCCCTTGACGACGGCGTTAAAAATTCAAAGCATGCCTCGCACAGTTAAAATACAAGTTCTTTACCACGATCCGGTTACTAGTATCGTGGCTACTGACACCCAAACTTCAGGTTCAGCTTAACCCTGTTAAGTGACGGCGGACTCTATCGACAAGCTCTTTCATGCCTTATTGAAACCAAGGAAATTATAGTTGTGCGTAAGGAGAGAGGTGATCGGACGCCAAATTATCCTTTAATCAAAACCACCAGAAGTCTGATTCTCAAGTTTCTAAAGATCACTGAATGCCTTGGCCCCGAGAGAAATTTTCAATGACCAGTCCATGATCAAGCTGGTGCTTTTATCTTTGAGAGTGTCTTGAGTTCCAGTCATCCAGAGTTGAATAGAAGGATCATACGCCACGGCCAAAACGGTCAAAAGTGCCGAACTCTTTAGTTTCCGCGCTGAGCACCAATTACGTATTGAATGCAAAAAACAAGTCATGCTGTTTCAACGACATGAGCTCTACCCTTGCAGGCAACTACCAGTGTGCGGTTTTGTCCAAAATCGGCCAAAATTTATACTCGCATCCAAACCTGTACCTTCTCAAATACTCCAGCCGCCACTGCTGATGTTTCCGGAACTTCAGCAAGCCTCCAAGTATAAAAAACTTTTTTTTAGCCACCCAGAAAAGGTGAGGTGATATGCAACACTGTGCATATGTTGCCATGGTCTACCTTATCAAGTATTCTACCCCCATTGGTGGTGCTCCCAGTTTACCAACAAGCCTACTAGCGTCAAAAAGATTCTTTTTGTAATTCTCAAAAAGTAAAGTGGAATATTAGAATAAGGTACTACTGCTAAATTAGGAACTTGGATGTAAACAAACCCTCAATCGTTATTATCTGTATTACACGACCATCATGACTTCTCCAAAAAATTCACTATTAGGAATAGCTGAAGCTATTTTAACGGCTGGAATTTAATGGAACTGATTGTCGGCGACGTCATTTTATTTACGCACACCCGCGGGAAATAAGCGATAAACGGCTTATCGCATGGAACGTGGAAGATTTCGGAATCGATCCAGTCTATTCGGCACTACATTCTCACCCAAATACGTATTTCCCACAAGAGTGGTAAAGACCCAGGCTAAGCTTCTACAGCTACGTCAAACTAGAAAACGAAAGGAAAACATGCTCAAGAGAAATAGAATGGAACAAAAACTTAATAAAAATTAAAGAATTACAAAAATTTCATAACTCACCCTATAGAATCGAAAGAAGTCTCGTTTGAGAAGCTTCTGAAGCTTGTCGTAAATCTCGACATTATTAAATGTGTCGATATTTGGCTCATCACAACGGCATGACTCCACAGCTTCGCCAATCTTACAAAAGCATGGCGCAGACTCGTGAAATTGACCTTGTGTAACCGTGACTGCCAAAATACCACTCAACCAAATAGACAGCCACATCTGCACGAAATAAAGATGAGAAATTGCCGATAGCACCCGTGATGATATCAGCTGAGATAACCGGAAAGTAAACAGCTGCCCTCCCCGCACAGGTTACGAATTGGCGACCAAACAAAGAAATTCTACTAACTATATCAATAAGATAGTCTAATTGCTAAAAGTAAACAAATCAATCAATCGAAGATCTGAAGAGAGAAGGAGAGGGATTTCCCGAGTACAGAAATGAGGACACCAAGTAGGCGTACGATTACGATCGTTCGTTCGTTCAGGCTAGCTGGTCGTATCGGCCTTTCTCTCGTTGGACCGGTCGTCGGGCTACCTGGCCTGGAACCGGTGCAAATAGCAAATCCTGTTCCGGAAGGGTGTCTAGGTACTGACGGCACAAAGCTCTTGGAGCTGTCGGTTAAGTCCCAGCAAATATCGGGTTTTTAAAAAATCATCATATTTGTTTCACGAAAAAAAGCTGAACATTGACTTTCAAGATGAGCACTTTAAAAAGTAAATTCCTGAAAACAACGGGTTATAAGGATTTAAGGATAAAAAAAGGAAAAACTCATTAAAACCTCACCGAAACCACACCACCCGCTGAAAGTAAATTTTGTGATTAAAGAAAGGAACAACATTGAATAGGGAAAAAATTACTGATAAATATAAAGGAAAATATAAAAATTATCTGCCGATGTTGCCATTTGAGCGCATTTTTGCTTCAGATCATTTCGCCAGCCCTCCGTTGGTACACGTTGTATAACCACCTGCGCTGACGTCGGCTACCCTGCCGCGACGCGACGTCGCGCCCCGTCGCCGTGCGCCGAGCTCGCGGCCGCCATCCCCACGACTGCGCCGTTTGTGGGTGGGTGTGGTTGCTCGTGGGAAGTTATGCCTTATGTGGGTCCATTTATGCATAGGATATTACCCGTCACGAAATTGAAGAAGTAATGGTTATGAGGCCACATAACAGGAGCCTAACAACGAATGAAGCCCAGTTAAGAGGAGAATTGGAGGTACTTCTGCTTTTCTCGTTCCAGACAATGTGGTCCACCAACGACTAGTCTGAGAGTCTGCTCCCATTAGGTTTACGACTTTTTCGAGTGCTGGCATGAGCAATCGGACTAGAAGTGGGGCGCTCGAAAAGCTCTGGTAAGCACTGCCGTGTATGGAAGGGTTTGGCGAGCATTCGGAAGCGATCAGAGGGGGTCAATGAGAGTTCATCCGTTCTCAATACAAGGAAGTGGCTACGGCTTTTGGGTAAATTATTTTCCCTTATGGCTCAGTTGTTCCAACATGAACACTCCCTTCATCCCTTTAAAATGAACCCGAAAAGGAGCGGTAGACTGGGAGATGGTGGAGCACATGTCATGGAATCTTCCAATTTTCTTAAATGTACAGTCCCATTGGTAGGCGTTTTTTTAGCAAATTCATGTATTTTGTTGATTTCCAGGGGCAGAAAAAGTGGGTTGTCACTCTTTATCAGCTGAGCATCGATGTAAACGAGTCAGTTGCGGTCTGCCACGACCATTACTTTTTTGCCGATTCAATCGGCTCCTAATTACTCATAAGCTCCACTCAAATTCTCATGTCAGTGAGACTATTTACCCCATTCATCGCCATATAATCAAGAACTTAATCGGGGAAAGGAAAAGGCTGCACCCACTCTATTCTCGTAGTCCGACTCGTGACTGGTTTCGTATATTTTGCTGAATCATTCGAGACATTCCCCCATCCCATCCCCATTCGAGGGAGAATTTTGAGAATGGCCAATATGTCTCATACAGTGTTCCTCTGGAGTCCCCCGTAATGGGGGAGCTGATGGTGAGTCGAACACAACTCATCGACTTTGCTCGTCAGCTCAGTTCTTTCGTCACCGTCTCAAAGAAGGCCCTTTCCTTTGAAAATTTCGGGGTCTTAAGTGCTCTCAAGAGTGGCAAGTGCTGGGGAAAATACTCTGGGAGTTTTGTCAAAATTTTTTTTTGCCCTAAAACCGAAAGGAGTTCGTACCGTAACCGGGCTGGATTACTAGACGATTTTGTGACATTTTTTGCTATTCCGATTACGGTAGAAAGAAAAACCCTGGGCTTAAAGATTTTCACAAGTTTTTACGGTCACACACAATTTCTTTTTATGTGAGTTATGTCACGTCTCTGATAAGCAAATAAATAAGAGAATAAAAACGTTATAAGACAAGCTTTCTGCATCATTCTCTAGTCAAAGTCAAAGTGCAACAGCTTGGGGAAAAAGTACTAAAGCTCATTATAAACCCGGAACTTGTTATCAAAGCAATGATATGGACAGTAGCAGGAACCAAAGGGGCGTTCATTTTCCCATATGAGAACAGAAAGCTTCCCAGAAAACTCGAAAACACACCGGAAGATGGCATCACGCATGACTAGAATGTGTCAAAGGGGTCGAGATTTAGCACGGTATGACCGTGGTAGATGGCGTTTGAACGAGTTCAACACCTCGTGTGCATCACCTGGGAACCTATATTTCTACTGGTAATAGTACTTATTAGGATTTTTGATGAAAGAAATAAGAGATGAAAGATTACCGATAGAGATAAGCAGTCTTCACTCGGGCCGCTCGATACATCTAAAACTTGGACCCCCGCAGGTCATGATGTTTCCGAGCCATTACTATTCCCTTCTCAGGCTATTTTTCGATCTCTAAGGCTCCATAGCACCTTATGAGGCTCGCTACGCCTTCCCAACAGGAATGAGCGCAAAAAAGTTTTTCCCTGGTTGTGTTTTTGACGAAGCTCTAGGGATAAGGAGCTCTCTTGCCTTTGCTAGAACTTCGTATCTCCCCTATTGTGATGAAGAAAAGAAGGAGAGTCAGCCATCTTAAAGACAGGAATTCACGGTCAGGTAGGACTTCCGTATGGGCAGCTCTTTAATGGTGAAAGACAAAACATGAAGAAAATACTTGCAGAGTAATACTCATCAAAAGCAGAGGAAACGGCATCTCTTCAAGTCCAAATAAAGAGAAGAAGTGCCTTGCTTACAGCAATGTAAAAGAAAACAGTCTTCGTCATGGAGTGATGATTCGTCTCAAACAACATCGAAGGCAGACATTCAACAAAAAGAAAAGTCCCGCTCTCATCATTGTGGTGCTTGCTGTTGATGAACTTTTTGTTGGAAAAAAAAGAAAATAAGTAGTAAAATTACAGTTACACTTAACGGTGGACTGCTAAGGCTGCTAGGGTTGATACGTGCCTTAGCCCTGTATCTGGCAAAGTCCCAACTTTGGAACTCAACTGAGAGCTAGTTCATTCACGATTCCCTCACGGGACTCAAACAATCCCAAGCAGTCTGTAAAGTTACCTCAGTAGTAGGGGCATTCACATATTGCTCTGTTCAAGATGCAGAGAACTCAGGATTCTCTGCAACTTGAACAGAGTAGAATAAAGTATAGTATATAAAATTATAGCATTAGAACCGATCGCTCCTATCATGTCTGTCTAGAAAAAATGAATGAAAGTCATCATTTTCTGCTCTGAGTTAGCTACTGCGGAATAAAAGGGTAACCAGTTCTACAAAGGTGCTAAAGTGGCCATCGTGGTCAGACTAAAATAAGGGGATGTAGCGATTCCTTGCTTCCTACGGAACTTTGGGGATGCGCTAAAGAAGCGAGAATCGAGGCATGGAAATTTCATCCTTCTGAACGGTACCGTATCTAGACATAAGCCCGCGAGCTCTGAATAGAAACTCGAGAAAGCATGACAACTCAGCTGTAAAAACAAGCCTAGATTGTGGACGTGGCTTGGTCTGATCGCGAGATTTTTTGGACGAGTTTACTGCAACCGACAAGTTAATTAACGTGTTTCAAACATGTCACTCTCAGCTGAGCACAATTTCCCGTGATCATAGCTATGACATCACATGAGCAATCAGAGAATGACATCTCAAATCTTCGTAAGCAACTGTACTCCCAGGGCATCGAGCTGAATTATGATGTTTTACTACCCCTGGGGGACCCTACTTAGGGACTGAGAATCTACTTGGATAAGGTACTTGAGGACTGGCAGGGATTGTCTGGAGATGAAAGTCAAATTTTTTCGGCGCGAGAACGGCCATTTTGAGATCTCTGTTACCTAGTGAGGTGAAATGGTGGCTAAAGGTCTAGGAGCTTTCGTTTCCACTAGGAATTCCTTCCCGTACCGGCGCTCAGGCAATTCTATTCGAGGAAGTTTTAATTGGCTCTCTCCGTAAGGCAAAGTGATGAGTCAAAAGATTCCTACAGAGTTATTTGCTAAGTACGTCCTAGTTAGTAAAGTGAAACTGAAGAAGTCCACTTATGCACATAACACGAATCGAGCAGAGGGATAATGTGGAATAGCACAAAATGAGACGAAAAGCGCTTGTTTGTTATGCGACACCGGCTGCAGAAGACCTTCATTGAAACAGCTGAGCTCATATGGAAACCCTACAGCTGAATCTGAACAAAGACCTCCCATATGATTACATACCGTGTGTCTTCCCGCCCATTCAATATGCGTTTTTTTTCTCTGGTTTGAATGGAATTTATCAATGAAAGTGGTGAAAAATAGGGCGTGGGCTTGTTCATTATGATGGAGCAGGTGTTACCTTAGTTGCCCAAGTATTTCAGGTTATACATTAATTTTCACTTACTAACTGACTGACTGTTAGAAAATTTGCACGAAGAGGACAAGTGGAAGGCAAATTGCGCATCGAAGAGGTGAAGGAAGGGGTCTCTGTAATGTAATGGCTAAGTGTGGTTCCTGGAAAGCAGAGGTGGAAGTTTGAAATCCATCCGTGACCGAACGTTTTGTCAGGTATTCAGAACTCTTTCGTTGTGACAATCACCTGGCAAACTACATTACTCGAAAATCTCCCAGAGGTTGGCGAGTTATGAACAAAACTTCGACCGTAGACGAGACTCGAACTCGTAGTTGTGCTATCCGGGCACCGACTCATTATCCATTACGCTACCAAAACCTCGGATTGCGTACAGCGGGAAAACATCTGCAGTTGATGAACTACCGT